ATCAGCCACGCTTTCTGTAGCACCTCAGTGTGCCCACCAAATGCTGACCCCCTGTCCCTTTTACTTTGAAAGAGGGGAGGGAGCCAGGGCAGAATTAGCTGCTTTTGCAGTAGTCCCAGATGGACAGAAAATGATTCGCAATTCTCATATTCCTGAGCAAGAGGAAGAGGCCATGTAAGGTTTGTTTTAAACAATCTTTGAGCTGCGTATACACGGCAAATTGTCACAGCAGCTTCTGGGCTGTCAAGCTTGTACTTGTCTTTTTGTAGCCTGTTGATGGTCTTGAAAGCAGAAAATACCCACAACACGTTGTGCTCTGGCCAACGCATCTCCTGTACAGGGACTTGGAAGTTGGGCTAGTGCAAAATACGTGGACCAGATCTGCATGGAAGGTGTCAGGAGATGGCACATTCCCATCTCTTTTCACCTAACACAGAATAAAGCTAGCTAATTACAGACAAAGCTGTTCTAAACAGAAGTTGACAGTCCAGGCTTTGTTACCTTGAGAGGGATGGAAAATATCCTTGGTCTTTTTAATAACCTTTCTGTTGTTTGTGATTGAATATGATCCAATTGCTCTAATGGAGGAGAATATTATGCACAGCATGAGTCAGCAACACTTTCTTCCTGGAACAGCAGACAGCCAAGAAAGTTCCCAAACTCTCTGCAGAGATCTCCCTCCCCCAAGATGAGGATCTGGACTGCATCTGCCAATACCTGCTGGTGCCTCCCCTTGAGATGGACCTGTAGTTGTCTGACTGGAATATGGAACCATCCAAGGTTCATTTGAGGTTAGAAGACTCAACTCAATGTGCAGCAAAAGCACTTGGGAGCTTGACGCAGGAGAAGAGAGGGAAGCCAGTTGCAGAAGTTTGGAGTGCCAGTGCATGTTCCAGCGGTCTGGAGCTTTGAAACGAGGCCCTCAATGGCCCTGGCAATGGGAGGATGTGAACAATTACAAATGCTTAGGCTCATCTGAGGTCATCCAGTAAACAAGACTGGATTGTTTCTTGTAAAATACAGATCTATAGCCACCAGCTAAAGGGTGGTTGGGAGCAGATTGAAAGCTACTAATCAATATGTACACTCTCCACTCTGTGATAGGAAAAAATAGACCAAAAATTCTTGCCCTGTTAGCATAAATTAAATAAGGTTGTGTATTTTAAAATACTAAATCTTCAAAGCATGCAATGAACTCTTTGGTAAAACTATAGACTTCAGTGAAAAGATGCTAGGAATGAGTTTTCCCTGGTTTACTATATACTCCCCTCAGAGATTAACCCCCCTACCTACTGACATTGCCCTGTTGCAGTGTTTGTGTTGTGCTGAGAACAACCATCTCATAGAATGTTCCAGCAAGAGAAAGACCGTGCACTGAAATGGGCCTGGCATCTGAACAGTCTACCTGTACAAATCCATACTTCCACTGGAAATTTTTGCCAAGCAAAGCTACAGTCCGACAAGCAATCCCAAGTTTGGGATTGACTTTTGTTCTTTCAGTTGTGCCGTTGGATATTTGGCCATACACTGGATAAAGTTTCTGGCAGCTACCAAGCTATTAGCTCTGGTGGGTTCCAACATTTTCCTATGGAATGAGCATTTTTGCCTAAGGTGCCAGCCCAAAGCACAGCACTGCTGCTTTTTAAAGAATCCAGACATATTAAGCCACCTAAATCACTCCTTGTTCAATGCCAAGTCAGCCAGCCTCCTCCCTGCTCTGTGCTCGGGTCAGTCAATGTGCCAAACACTTCTTTGCTGTGAGCTGAGACCTCGCTTAGTGCCAAATTGCATCCACTGAGGTCTCTGCTCCCGCTTTTGACCTTGGACCTCAGGGGAGAGGAAGGGATGTGGGCACATAGGCAAGACATGCATTTCACAAAGTTCCTACCGATTTTTAGAAAGTTTACAACAGAGCCCCAGACCTTAAAAGAACAGTGTGATTGCCACAAAGAACAGTGTGGGAAAACCAGTATACATGCATGTGCAGCCCTCCCACACGCACACTGACTACCCCAGATATAGGCATACCCACAGATCAGCACCTACACACAAATGTTTTTGACACACTTATTCTCAGCATCCTGTTCTCTTACAGCAGCCTCAGTTGGAGGAAGGGAGAAAATATGTTCCTTCTAACCTAATCTTCTAATGACCTTTCTGCCAGCTCTACTTTCCTGCCTGTCTCTAAGCTGCTCGTGGTGATGATGGGAACAAGATCCCAATGTAGAGAGTGATTTTCCTCCTCGGAGGTTGACAAGGTCTGTCTGCTAGGTTGTGGTGTGCTGCCCAATTGCTCTTAAGAGGTTCAGGGTAAATAAGGAGATAAGAAAATTGTTTACAATTGTGTCTCTTGGGCCCCTTGCAGCTCTGCCAGAGTTCTTGCAGAGTCGAAGGACTCTGATTGTGCTGCAAACCTGGTGCAAATGGGCTCCCATCTCCTCTTACCTTCCTGGATTGTGAACTCCCTGCCAAACCTGGCAGAAGATCTCAGCCCTCTCACTCTGCCCTGCACATTTCCTACAGCTGCCTGCAACTGCAGGATAGAAAATCAGGAGAGCAGGCAAACGCAGCAGCGTGCCGTGGATGCTCTGGTACAAACTAATATTTAGAGGATGACCATCTCAGCTTCTGTTGAGAGGCTTTTAAAGCTCTGTAAGGCATGTTCAATGCCTGTCTTTCAAAGCTGCCCCATGGCAGCCTGGGGGCTGTGATGGATTCTCCTGGCAGGAGATGCCTGACTCCCTTGCTCCACTCCCTCTCTCCAGGAGGATGCGGGAGACAGGCACTTCTCAATTGCAGGGCATTTCTGGCCTCCGCGCTGCCTGTCAAGGGGAGATTCATTAGCAGCAGGGAGGCGATTCTCTCTCCTCTCTGCTCTGGAATTGGAGTCGTTTGTCTCGGGAAGGAGCCCAGGCGCCTCACTCGCTGTGTGGCAGCTTCTGCTCAAGGGAGACAAGCACTTCGTCAATAAACAAGGAGCCTGGGGAATGGCTCCAGCTGACAGAGGACATTATTAACGACCAGCACTTCGGCTGAGGGTAGATCAACCTCCCATTAGCTACTTTAAGAGGGGAAAGAGAAATAGAGCTAAAGATGGCAGCCTTGGGAGTTTCAGCATCCTCGTGCAAAGTCCCCCGCTGTGAGGCCCAGGGCTGGCACAGTCCCCAAGGAGTGACTGTATATTTTGCTAGCGTCAGGGGTCTTCAAACTGTGACAGCAGGAGACAGGCACATCTCAGGAACAGTTTCACTTCCCAGCCCACCATGGGTGGGCTCTGCTATGGAGGTCTTCCAGACCAGAGCTTTCCCATCCCCTCTGTCCCTCTCTCAGTCTGCCCTGGGTACAAGGGGTGTCTTCCTGTATCTGCTACTGCAGCTTCTGGCTTTGGAGGTCCTGTGGACCTTTGTGCAGCTCCTTCCCAGTGAAGAAAGCATTGAGGGGATCTGAGAGGAAGCTGTTTCACTGCCTCCACTATTGAGAAGTGGTTAGTACAAGAAAGAGCAAGAAACACCATCCCGCAAGGCCGCACACTTCTGGCTGTGACTGGAACTGGAGAAGCTGTTGACTCTTGTCATGGTTGGACTGCTAAACTCATCTCCTCAGGTGGAAGAAGCCTGTAAGCTCTAAAGCAACTGTTGATGCATCTTACAGTCATGCTTAATTTGCCACAGCACCATCAGGGTGGAAGCAGAGAAATCCTTGCTTTATTGTGACATTGATAATTCATCTTTCTCTGTCCTACAGTCCTAGAGCTGCCAGGAGAATGAGTCCTTGGCTCCTGCACAAAAACCCATGTGGTGCAAGTACTTAGCCCATAGGTTAGGTCTTTGTAGAACCTTTTGTTTGGAACCACACTCTCAAACAAAATTGTGAAATCTTTCAGCTGAGCACCTGAGCGTCCAACCAACCTGCTGCATAGACAGGTGTAGGATCAGTGTCATCTTGGTCTTCACAGTTCTTGAAGGACGTAGCTCTTCATGCCGTGGCTTCGTATCACTGTGGAGCTGCAGCTGTGGTGGCTTCATATCTAAGGGTGCATTCACTATCCTCTTCAGATCCTGTTGCCTGGGTGTGATGGTGAGGTTTTTATGCAATTTAAATCTCCTTCCAGACTGAATGCTCTTATGCTCAGCCTGAGATCAGAGGAAAAGGTACTGGGGACTCATCCCTTTTGTTTCAGAGATTATTCTGTTACCACAACAGGCCTAAAGTCCAGACTTCAGAGCTGGCTCTAGATTTAGGAGCCTCTTATTTATTCCAGGACTTGGGTGCTTGGGAATTGAATGGATGGATCTGATGTCCAAATTCTTTGCTTCACATTATCTAGCCTGGGGCTGTTCAGATTTAGGATTCAGGTGTGAGCCCATCTTTGGCAGACTTGTGCAGGTAAACCACTAGTTGATTTCTACTTGCAGAAAACTGGAAAAACTTCACCACAAGACTGGCTCAAGGTCTCTCCCTTGTGGTTAAAAATTACTATCCTGGGGCTGAGAGTGTTGTAGGGTCCCTGAACTGCCGCCTTCAGGCTTGCTTCCACTGTGGCAGGAAAAGAATGAGGGACTTCTAGGTCTGCTGATATTTATAAGCTGAAACAGGTCCCACCCAGATAAATGGTCCATTTCTGCTCCAAAACGAGCTCTGGACTCTGCTCCAAGCCCGTAAGTGGATTGCCTTCTGGCTAGCCTAGCTCTCTGGTGATTGGAAAGCCGAGAGGAGTCAGAAGGGGGGTGGGTTAGGGATGCGATGTTCAGAGGCTGTGTGGACCCAAACTAGCTGGATTCACTGAACTCATCACTGAAATCACTTCTTGTGGTGCCTCTCTGTTTTAATTCTCCTTGAATCAGCCCTCTCCCATGAGTGAAACAATCTTGCCTGCAGATTGAGGGGGGTGGGAGGGATTTGAACATTAATCTGATGTAGATTATACATCCGCCTCCCTCTCTCCCCCCTTCTCACTCTCTCTCTCTCTCCCTCTCTCTCCCTCTCTTTCTGTCTGTTTCTCTCCCCTCCCTCTCCTTCCTGCTTCATCTCTTCAAGAAAGTGAACATAAAGTAAAAACACGGAGAGAGAGAGGCAGAGAGAGAAAAAGCTCCCTGAAGAGGGAAGCCCCAGCAGCCAGTAGCTGTTTGGATTTGCCTGGCGCTGCCTTTCTTGCTTTGCTCCCAAGGAATACCTTTAATGGGATCAATTGCTTCAGTTCCTTTATAACCAAGTCCACCGGAAAGGCAGACTCAGCATATTATGGGCAACTGTGTGAAGTCTCCACTGAGAAACCTCTCAAAAAAGGTATGTTCCTTGAATCAAAGTGCATTGTGCATTTCCACCCCTGCTTCTTGGGATGGGTGACGTCGTGGGCATATGGGAATGGGAGGTGGGAGAAACACAGAGGTGTGTATAAAGGGTTCAGCTCTCTTCACCAGACTTTTTTTGTAAGAGCTGCTTGTCCAAGTGCAGCCGTTAGAGCCTGGGATGCTGAGAGCCATAACGTGCGTAAATAAATGTGTGCGTATGCATGCACGTGAGTGGGCTTGTGTCCTGCTCCGTGTATTTGTGTATAGGTGTCCTCTGGGTACGTGCAAGCTTGCGGCTTGTGCTTGTCGATGTGCACAGTATGCTGGCACATGTCTTCTGTACAGGCATCTTAATGTATGTGTATATGTGTGAGTTTGTGTGTGTGTGCATGTGCTTCAGTTGAGAGGTATCTGCATGAGTCTAGTTATGTATGTCATTTCTGTAGGGACATATATTCATGTACGTGTGAATGGGCATGTGTCTGTACATATTCCTATTAGTGTGTAAGGATATGCACACCTAATGAGCCTATCTGAAGTATGTGTGTGTCCGTAGCTCCTTATGTCTCTACGTACGCATCCTGAGGTGCATGAGCAGACGTGCAATGTTTGTTGTGAGTGTATAGAGGGGGAATTTGTGTGCATCACACACGTATCCCTGCTTGTGTGGTGCTGTGTGTGCTAGTGGATGTCCTTGTAGAAGTCTGTATGTGGACATGTGTGTATTTTTATGTATATCCATCCTTGCGTATGCACACATCTAGTTTTGTTGTTATGTGTTTGGGTACAGAAGCATGTTTTTCTTGGTTATCTGTTTGTCCATGCCTCTGTTTGTGACTGGACACACTGGGCCCTGGCTGTGTGTTCATGCATCATGTTGCGTATCAGTATGTCCCGTGTGTCTACATGCTTGGGCCCAGCTGGACTTCATCTGCGAGCCACCATGTGTATCTGTTAGGCTTCAGCCTGCGGTCTGCTCTGTGCTGAGGTTTTGCAGTGATCCCAGGATGAATTAGATTCAGGAACGATTCTGCTATTAGGGTCTAGAGTGAAATGGGAATGACGTGCCCCAGAAATATTTCTTATTTGACTGATGTCAGTGTCTTGCAGCACTGTGTACCTGTCAGCCGCATGGTTCTTACTTAGCATTGCTGCAAATCTAATAACTCAGCAAAAAGCTATGCAGTTTGCTGCTCATAAATGAAAAAGTTATGCTAAGCATCCAAAGTATTGCAATGAGGAGCTATCTGTGTGGAGACCTTGCCGACAGCGAAATGCCACTGCCATCAGGATGCTCCAGACTTTGCCACCCGGGAAAGCTCCTCTGGGAGGGAGCTGCTGGGAGAGGGCCTCCCTAGCAAGGAGTTTCTTCTGGCCAGAGATTTGCCTCTTCTGTGTAGAAACACAGTTTTCTTGTTATCTGGGCTGCTGTAAACAAAGCCAGTAATGGCACAGTGCTGCTGCGGGGGAGCTGGGATACAGGAAGAGGGAATTCATCACCAAGCAGTTAGACAGTGCTGAGACCAGTCCCTAGGTCAGGGTGACCTTCAGGGAGAGGCAGAAGTAGTTGAGGTTTACCCAAATGTTGCACATATGAAAAACCAACTTGGTTGCTTGTAGGTCGCCTCCAACTTACAATAAAAGGCTGCAGCTGTGCTCAACATGATCAAGGCGATTGCAATTAAATTCTGACGTGTGGCCAGGCTGTTTGAATCAAAATGGATTCAAGAACTTATAAGCTCTGTGTCATCAGTCTTTTAAGTAATTTATGCTTTCATTCCTAAAAGCTGCTTCGAATAATGTACTTTGTGCCTAGTTTTAGGTGGCCTGGGATGGCAGGACTAAAGAGAGAAAGTTGCAAAGCTGAATTAGAAAATGTCTTAGACATTGCTCCAGCTAGCTGTGAATTAAGGCCTCGGGCACTCATCCTCACGGGTCCTGGGGCTCTGCTGTTCTTTTTATCACAACACACATGATCATAGAGGCGACTTTGCAGATCAGTCTTAATGTTACACAACTTCACTTGGCTGTTTTATGATCTGGCTTTTTTTTCTCAGATTTTACCTTGGGCAAACTCATTTTGCTGAAATGGTAAAGAGGAGGGACTGTAGACAACGTGTGAGAAAGCTTCTCTTGGGTGACAGACTGATCTCTTGAGTACATGATTTCAACATGAAATTTGGGAGTTACTCCCAGGAACTGGCTGGCTTGGTCTGGGACCGGCTGACATGGGGGTATCTCGCCTGTTTTGGTGGCAATGCTCAGGCTTTGCATCCACAATGTCTGTTGTTGGCAGCTTCGCTTTCCCACTGTCACAGTGTCCTCCCAGTGATCCCAGCAGCCAGCTGGGCTGCCGTTCCCTCTGAGAGGCACTGCAGTCGGGATGAAGGGGCTCCTCCAGGCTTGCCGCTCTGCAAAGTCCCTCTGAGATGCAGGCAGGAAAATTAGGTGAATCCTGTTGTGCTTCTGCTGTGCAGAAAGGAAAAGCTTTGGCATCCAGGTCCCTTCCTTTGCCACCCTTCACCATCACTGCGGCCATCTCTAAATCATCCTGGTCTCTTCCCTCTCCACAATCCGGACTCAGCCAGGAAGGGTAGTGGTTATTTGCTTGGGGAAGGGACAGGGGAAAGCCTGAGCTCCCCAGTCCTGTCCTTGCATTTTTCGTGTCACACATGCTGCTGATTACCCTGTAACAGGCGACTGATGTTGCTTTGGTGTGTACCCATATCACAGCTCCCTTCCCAGCTCTGCCAGGATGTAGGACTTGTGGGGATACTTGCAGGAGAAACCTGGGGAGCTGCTGGCAGAGGGAACATCAAATGCCATAAATCCTGCCTACAGCAGCAGAGCGGGGCAGGGATCTCACTAAGCCATGCACCTTGTCATCCTGGTGCTACGGCAGGTTGTCTGGTCAGGATCCTCAGTGGCTCTTGGCAACTGTTTCATCTAACTGGCAATCTCTACCTGCACAGGAAAATAATGGGATGACCATTCTGTGGTCCTGCTCTGTGGCTTGGTAATAAACTCTGTTGACTGGAAGGGTCAGAAAACAAGGATTAGGGGCTGTGGGCCCTTTGATCTTTCACGTGGCTTCAGTGGAATTAAACACAGAACTGATGAGGGCTCTTTTAAGTGATTCATATTATTTGGTCTATTAAACTGAAAAATGTGCCAAGAAACAAAGCTGATAATTTTGAAAATACATTGCTCTGATATCACGAAGCTGTGCAGTTCAACACAGATGCCTTGACATTTAGCTGAGCTAGTAATACGCCATTTGTGGACGGATGCTCATCTTTCAGGTTTTTAAGGACAAGTGTCCTATGTGTCAGATTTAATCGGAGACAGATTTTTTCCTTGTCCATGACTGCAGCAAAAAATGCTTTTCTGCTTCATCATTTTCTTTCTCCATGGCTTGCTTTTTGAGTTGTTTTTGTTTTGGTGTTTGATATTCACATGACATTATACATGAGCAGATTGATGTAAGACTGTGTACAAAATCGCAAACTACAAACCATGTGTGCAATATAATAGCACATGGCAGACACAGCAAGTAGATACAATAGGCTCGGACAAGTGTGAACGGGGCGTGTGTGTGTATCTGGTCTTCTAGCCTGAAAAAGCACCTCAGGCTTTAAGGAAAGGGTTAATAGAGACAATGACAATTGACAGAGCTTCTCTGATCACCCCTGGGAACACCGGCTGTAAAAGTAGAATCATTCCTGAAGAAGAATCTGATGTATGATTAATGTTTATTCTATAAAACCAAGGGTCCTGTGGGTTGTGCAGGCTTTTTATAGCTGCATGGGAATATCAGGATAAGAGTTTTCTTGCAGAGCCAGGGAAATGCATTTCTATAAAAGGAAAGCAGTGCCTCCTTATAAAATCCAGTGCTGGATTCTGTTCTGGAGCCCTAGCTTAGCAGGACATGTGCACTTAGGAAAATGTGCAAATGCAGACAGACAAAAATGTTGTGCCCGTGCCTGATCTCCACTTTGGGACTGTCAGTGATTACAAGAGGGCAGTGCAGTAACTGCCTGAGACCCTGAGGATGTAACTAATTAGAAGTGGCACAGGGAGTGTGAGCCTGCAGTTGGCAGAGCCACCTGATGCTGTAAACGGCCTTCTAATAATATTATAAAGTGTGTGATGCTGTGTTGCTGAAATGCAACACAGAGCATAACGCAGGGTCTTTGTGCAGGCTTTGCCTGGTCTCCAGGGGATGCCCTGGCCACGTGGCTCTGCCAGCAGCTTCGCCCTGGGCACAGGCTGGCACATGTACTATTAGGTTGGGGGTGCTCATCCTTTGCAGATCATTGAAGGGATTGTTAACTGCGGGGCTGATAGTGGGAGCGTGGCCCTTTGGGCTGTGTCTGGGTAGATGTGAGCAGTGCTGAGAGTTTGATGTCATTTCAAAGTGAAATTCTCCTGGTTGGTTGTACTTTTATCAGCTTTTGAAAGTGAACTCCTGGACTTACTGCTTCTGTACAAATCCTAATAGACTGGTGGGGGGGACGCAGTGTAGAGCAGATGAAGGAAATTTAGCAATAATGTCTCTGCGAGGCGGTTCAGTAAAACTTCATAGGAATGGCTGGGCAAGACAGGGAGGTAACATCCTCTGTTGTGTTGTTTGCTTGCTGCTGGTTGGCTGGGAAGATCCGCCATGAGGAGAAGACGTGCTATAAGGCTGTCCAGACGAGCGAAGAGGGGCCGTCGTCTTGCGAGTACCAGGGTCCGCTCATGGTGCTGGCCCAGAACTGCGCCGTCATGCACAACCTGCTGGGGCCAGCATGCATCTTCCTGAGGAAGGGCTTCGCAGAAAACAGGCAGCCTGTACGTAAGTTACACCTAGCCGGGCAAGACATGCACAAAGACATGTGGATGTGAGCCAGGGATGCGGAGCTGCCCGTATGCTGTCTGCGTGGAGCTCTGTAACCCTCAGCCCTGGGTCTCGAGCATCCTGGCTCCAGCTCCATGTGCAAATATGATCACAGGCAAATGTCTAACCTGAAGGATGTGCAGAGATATCCCTGTGCCTAAACACCAAGAAAGGAGGACTCTAAAAATGCAGCTGTGGAAGATAGATGCAAGCCTACACTCAAGTAGGCATAATGGTATAGACTCAGGAGGAGTCCAGTGTTCAGAGGTGTTATTCCAGCAAGACATCCACATCTCATTCCCAGAGGCTCAGATTAGCATTTAAGGCCTAAATAGCCACTTAAATGCAAATCAGGGCATCTGTATTGGGAACAAGCTGTCCCACAGAGATGCCCATATTTGATACTGTTCCTATCAGCTCACAGTAGGCACACTATTACCAGCAGAAATAAGCATGCATCTGCCTCCTCACAGATACCCAAATGCAATCTCTTGTACACTATCATACACAGCCTGACACTGCAGCAGTCCCAGCCAAATAAACCAAGGAACATCAGTCTGTCCTCATATTTGCAAATAATGCCAGACTACCAAATGCTGTTAGCCATACGCACACAAATAAATAGCAAAAACACATCCATCAGTCACACCTATTTGTAACTATGTGTTCATATGCATCTAATGTATGCATTTATATACAAAACAATATATATTTGTATATAAATATATATACAAATTGTAAATTCAAATGTATACACCTGGATGTGTTAAATATACATTAATGTGCACCCAGTATTGTATCTTTACAAGAAGTAAAACATATTTTTGCACATGAACATTCGATTCCTGCAATAACATGAATTTAAAGACATACACAAACATACGATTGACACACTTTTTATGGATACGTATGAGTGAATATGTGCATTGTCTGTCAGATATTCACCCAGTGCGTTCCATATGCTTCCACTGAAACAAAGCTCACCCCAGTTACATGGGAGTCAGAGCTTTCTTGCCTCTGTAAAAAATCTCTGTCTTACTCATGGTTTGATATGGTTATCTACAACTGTAGGGTACACCTAGATGTTTATTTCTCAAACCTCTTCTTCAACCGGCAAACCAAAAGAGAGCCATTATTTGTCATTATTGATCAAAGGGCTTTTGTTCTTCCTAACCTTCAGCTACTAAGTGATCACATATTTCTTGTGCCAGTTCACTAAAACACAAAACATAATTTTCTCAGACAAGCACACTTGCTGGCATGCAGAGAGATACCTGTCATAGGGGATAGGTCTAGCTCCCTAGTGGAAGGCTCACAGCTGGACAGGTATCCATCCTGTTTAGGCCCTGGAAATTCACAGTACCCGAAGAAGTCTACAAAATAGGATTAGTGATGTCTCTAACTACCCTGATGTAGAATAAGTGCATCTGATAAACAGCTTTACTTTTACTGACTCTCTAGACCAACAGGATTTATTATGCATAGAACAGAAATAAATGAGGGTAAGACCATTACGTATAATGGACTCTCTGAGGGTCACCTCTGGTCATTTCTAGGATCCAAACTCTCTGAGCAGTTTTATTCTTCTTTCCGTATGTTCTCCAAAAGCTTTAGAGTGATTCAGCCCATTTCTTCCCAAGCAATTTTCCTCCTTTATCATTTTAGGGATCTTCTTTCAAATTTAAAACAGAAAACCTCTTCATGACGTTAGTTATCACTTGAGTCAGATTTTTGGAGGGACACAAACCCTCCCCCTCCTTTTGCATTCGCAGTCTGCGGCTCTCTGATGGTAGAATCTGCATATGCAAAGATACGCTCAGAGGCCTGCAAACGCAAATGCCTCGATGTGCAAACTTAGAGCCCGTGCTGAAGCCCCCATTTCTGACATGTGTCAGTCATGTCGGTTGCCACGTGGTGTTCAGTGAGTGAGGTGGATGGTCTTGTGACGACTGCACTGGAGGATGGCCTAGGTCCTACCCCAGCCACTCTCGCAAGACAGCGGATACCGTGGGTGAGCCACGGCACCCTTTGCATCGTGGCGGTGATAATCAAACCTCTGCACCTGCTGCTGTGCTGAGCTGGCTGTTGGCACACAGCAGTATCTCCGGGCATTAATGTTTGTGAACTCTGGGCTGAGGTGCACAAGGTGTTGGTACTGATCAAGGGTGGTTTCCATCTGCTGTTTTATCTAAGGGAGGAGGGCAATAATGCCTCCTGCATCCGGTCTAAGGAGTTTGAATTGTTTTATTACTTGCTGTTGATGAAAGCGGAACAAATGGGATGACATGTTTGAAAATACCAGGTCTGTGAAGGATGAAACGGCAGAGCCAGTGCTCTCTGACAGTTCCATCCAGCACAGAGATGCCTCTGGGAAGGTTATGAGTGGCAAGCTGGTCATTTCTCTGGCACAGCCCACTTTTGCACAGACGTAAACCAGTGTGTGTCCTAGTTTGCTATGCACTCTGAGCAGCCACCATTAGTTTCCAGAGGAGCCTGTGGTTAAATAGCAAAGGATCATCCTTCTCAAACTGATCAAGGGCACCGTCTGCAGGGATGTGTGGTGAGGCTGGAGGACACCTGGAAGGCAAGGACAAAATCCCCACGGTTGAGGGGAAAAGCAAAGAGTGAGACGACAAAAGAGATGGCGATTCTGTGTTTCCAAATTCTCAGATGTTTTGGATTTGCCTGGGAGCCATGAGAGGAATTAGAAAGGGCATTTAAACCAGAAAGCAGTGCATTTCCATGCTCATCTCTTCTTCGTGGTGCAGTGTTGGAATTTTCCTATACTCTTTTATATCCTCTCCCTTCTTCCAAGAAATTCACATTGGATGTTTGAAGTTGCAGTGTTTCCTGAACATGGTGAATCCTTGTCCTGTTTTGTTGGTAGATGACCTTGATGACGTATATGTTGTGTGTCTGCCTTCATGCCTGGTTTCATAATGCTTGTATATGGAGTTGAGGCTGGGGGAAAGGGGGAAGTTCCTACCTTTTTGTGGGGACTGACTATAGGAGATCGCACTGGGATGTTGGCTGTAAGAGAGCTCATGGCTGTCCCTGTCCTGCCAGAAGGAGAGGGATCAAGCAGCAATCCAAACACATGATGGTATAGATCTGCTGGTTACAGGGACTGCTTCCAGCTGTTTTGATCTGGCTCTTTTAGCGGAAGCTGCAGTGGGAAATACGATCAGAGTTCTAGGAGAGATCGTAACTGCTGCAGGACCAGTTCTGCTCCAGGACGGTGCTGGGGAATGATGTAGGAGCTTCATGAAGCTCATAGTGCCATCAGGCGGGGAGGCAACACATACAGCTGTGCTGGCCCAGATCTCTTCTATTTTGGGGGAGCACCTGTCATCCCCCTGTCCAGCAGACGAGATGGAAAGGAGCTTCCACAGGGAACCATATAGGCTAACATGCCTCCCGTTGGGGAGGATAGCTGGGAAGCCTTGCTAGATAGATGGTATTAAACATGTCATCACCTTCTTGTTTCTTCTCTCGCTTTCTGGCTTGTCCCAGAACTGTTTGCACCAACAAGTGCTATTCTGAAACTATGTTTGTGGCAAGCTTGAACATAGTATGTTCTCTTTTTGCAGGATAGAGAACTGCGTCCGGAAGAAATTGAAGGTAAAATTTGTCGCTCCTTCTGTGTCACCTTTCTCCCTGCTCAGTGAAAACCTACTGGCTGGCCCTTCCAGGTTGGCCCCCATGGGGTAAAATAATTTGGGGCAGATCAGTGGAGATGATTACTGGAATAATTCCTGGCAACCCCAGCAAAAAGAAATAATATGTAAAACTGCAAGAGTGCTGACTGTGAAGGAATTTGCATCTATTCCAGCTTCTTCAAGGTGGGAGAATAAATAAAGTAATGGGATATTAGCTGTCAGGGAACTGCTGTCCACCCCAGCTCCCACAGGAAGTGTTGTGGAGCATGATACAATAGTATGGCTCCAGGGAAGCTGTTTTATCTGCTAATCCCTACAATGAGCACTCTATAATATAACACAGGGGTAAAAGTTGGGAAAACATACTACTTCCAGTTTCTTTAGCGAGTGCAGTTTAGGAATGATCAGTTCATGGCACTTGTAGTCCAAGCAAGCATTCCTGTAAGGAATGGGTCAGCAATGGTGCTGATAGAACAGCTTAACATTGCTCCAGTCGTTGCCCCTTTGCAGGGAGATCTGCTGGGAAAATACAGAGTATCTTGGGGACTCTGGCCTCATAAAATGCTGTGGATTCTGGGGAGATTTCTTCAAAAAGGTATTTGAAGCTGTCACTGACAATATTGTTCTTTTTTTAATCCAATCCCACAGAATTAAGAGAAGCCTTTAAGGAGTTTGATAAAGACAAGGATGGGTTTATTAACTGCAGGGACCTGGGGAACTGCATGCGAACCATGGGCTACATGCCTACTGAGATGGAGCTAATAGAGCTCTCCCAGCAGATCAACATGAACCGTGAGTAATGTCCACCTAGCTGTACCTCTCTGTTGTAGCTGTGCCCTGCATCATTGCCTCCGTCTCTCTCAGTCGCCTGCTGTTTCTTTTCCTTTGGATTTTTTCCCCCTCTTTTTTTGGTTCTCATTTTCGCTCCCTATCATCTGTCCTGTTTGTTTGTGGTCCCTAGCAGTCAATGCCTTTATTTCTTGCCTATCAAAGGGGCTGCGTGGACGGTGCTGTATGGGAACAGTGTGTTGAAGGGCTGTCCTTCGTGCTTATCCTGTCAGGTATAAAACTGCCCTTGATGTGGGCAGTTAGACATCGGTGCACAGGTTGTGGGTGTTGTCATATTGAAGCTGTTGTCAGATGGTGTCAGACTGAAGAAAGAGCTTGGGAAGATGGAGATGCTTTGGTCAGAATTGGTGACGGATGGGCTGTTCGCTCTGCGGTTGGTATTCATGGATCTGCTGTGTGCCTGGGGATGGGCTGCGAGCGAGCTGTGCTGGCAGTGTCAGATGGGGGCATCTGCTGGAGTCATGGAAAAATGTGACAAACGTGTCCGATTCGCTGTAACTGTGTTTATGCCCCTTGTCTTTCACCATCATTTTTTGTCACGTCTTACCTGTGGCAGTGCAGGGTAGCCTCAGCCAAGTGGAAAAAAGGTTATTTGGTACATGTTGTTTCTGACACGTGTTGATGTAAAAAGGACAGGTTACTTGGTCAAGGGAAGGAAAAGAGTTGTGACATATACAACCAGTCACACACAAAAGCAGTTGATGGTCCTGGCACACAAGTGCTTAGGAATTTCAGAGTGTTACTGCCAGCTGATAGGGGAAAAAGAACTAATAGAAAAAAAAAAAAGAAAAGAACTAATATGGTGAATAAACAGTTGGACATACATTAGCCACTGCTAATGGAGCAAGACTCCACCACTGCTGCAGGGCAGTGCCCAGGCCATGCAGAAACATCATGCTGTGCCCTTGCCATACTCTTTGGCAAAGGCGCAGCAGAGCGTTGCTATAAGCAGGAGAATGATCAAGCCTCTAATATGTAGTATGTGATGCCATAAGGATGTGACAGTAAATGGCAGCCTAGGATGGAGTAGCTTGGACTCATTCTGCCTAGCCCACAGTCCAGAAAATACAAAGACAGTGTAAAACTGCCTCTGCTTTTCCTCCCACTGTCTTGCACCTTCTGCGCTTTGCTTCCTGGAGAACCAAGCCCTCTCTGGGACACACAGAAGTGTGTGTGTCTGGGGCTCACAAAGTGAGTGTTGGGCTTGGCTAACGTATGGAGTTCTTACACATGATCTTTCATCTTGTCCTAAGTGGGTGGCCATGTGGATTTTGAAGATTTCGTTGAGCTGATGGGACCAAAGCTGCTAGCAGAAACCGCAGACATGATTGGTGTAAAAGAGCTCCGTGATGCCTTCAGAGAGGTGAGTGCTCCCTACCGCGTGCCCCCCAGAGAGGTGAGCAACAGGAGACAGGAAAGACAGAAGACCCAATGGGGAAGAGAAGAGGAGGAGGAGAGAGCAGCACAGTGGAAGACAGAGAAAAAGTCAAGCCAGGCATGAAACAAGGGAGGAGCAGAGAAAGTCACTAATATAAGGGAAGCCTTCAGGCAAGGAAAAGGAAAGCTGATGCAGACACAGCTGTTACGAGGGGTTTCTGAGGAGAAAAGACAGACTGGTTTCAAAATGCACCCAAAGGAGGAAAAGGAGGGACACAAAAGGAATGCAGGAAAAATAGGGCACTCAGGAGCAGAACAATACAAAATCCGAACCAGAGCAAGATCTGTTTCCATTAACTGCATTTCTCCTGCTGGTATTTTTCATGTACTTGCAGTTTGACACCAATGGTGATGGGGAGATCAGCACCAGTGAGCTGCGAGAAGCTATGAAGAAGCTTCTAGGGCAGCAGGTAGGCCATCGGGATATTGAAGAGATCATCCGGGACGTGGATCTGAATGGAGATGGGCGTGTTGATTTTGAAGGTGAGAAGGGATGAGTGCTCCCTGCCCATCTGCTCTGGTATGAGTCAGAATTTCAGCTCAGAGGTGGAAGTGGAAGGAAAGATTTGCATGCTCAGGGCCCAGGTATCTGAAGTATGGAGAAAAAAGCAAACAAGACTTTTTTTTTTTTCCTAGTCAGCTGACGAAAATGGAGAATATTGGCCCACACAGGAAATTCCTCAGCTGAAGTGTTCATTTGTGTATCATATCTTGCTGCATCTCAGTTTAAGTTGGGTCTCTCTCCATAATTCTAGCATAGTAAGAGATATGCCCTGTCACAAAGGAGCAGATACTGGTGCACACATGCTATGCCAGCCTTTTTTTTTTATGGGGCATTTTCCTTTCTATTAAATCTGTTGCAAGAGCTGTGAGGAGCCTGGATTGGTTTGGAGAATGCATTGCATCTTCCATTTCCTCTGGCTCACCTTGTTATCTGGGTTTATAGAGAATTTGTTTCTGTGCCTTTATGCCAGAAGATGGTCACGTGCCAGATGTGCTCACTAGGACTGCAGATACCTGATCTAGAGGTGTCATGTCAAATCCCAGAGATAACTCATTTCTTCTCCCACTTTTCATGCCAGAAGGACTTGGACAAATAAGAGTGGTTGGGCTACTATGCTAGCCATTAGCCATGGCAGGAGCAATATTAATAGAGCTCATGGTTTCTGGCAAGGGAAGCAATTGATATCAGACAGCTAAGCAGATATAAGAGCTGGAAGGTGTGAGAGCATGGCAGGCTGCTTGTTTTCCAAGTGCAAATCCAGACGTCCCTTTGCAGTAAGGGTGAAGCACAGGGGCTACAGAATTACAATAAAACTGATGTCATTTTTTTGGCTCAGAGGCATTCCTGGGTCTCCTACATGACAAGTAGTCTCAGTCCTCAGGATTACTTAAGCTTTTGAGGGCTCTGAAAATGCTAAAAAAGTAGAAGTGTCTCCCTAAAAAGTATCTGGTAGCTGCAGTTGTTCTAATGCACTGGCTGATTACATGACAGTAGCTCTTCTTGTTTCCCACAACTAAATTATGTTAGACAGCTAAAATACATGAAACTCTATCCCAGTATCATTTTCTCTGTGAGTTACTGCTTTAGTTGTCAAAGGACAGCTCCATCAATGGAACAGGAGAAGTCAAGGGGGTAATTTCCACTGCCCTCCTCTTTGCAGAGTTATTAGTTCCACAGCAATCCAAGTGCAGAATGAAAACACATTTATATTTGATGGCATTTACGCTCAATTTGAACAATTGTAATTGACTTCACAAGCTGCAGGGTGGTGAAGAAATAGATCCAGAGTATCCTTACAGTTAACCTGTATCTTTAAAAACAAGAAGTCCATCAAAGTAAACTTTTCTCTACAAAAATGCCGGTACTTACCAAAATACTAGTGCTTTCCCACACTGGTGTCTCTGTGAAGTGGCAAGCTTACTAAGAAATCATACTGTGTTCCCGAGACTATAAATCCAGATTCCCTGAAGTTACAGTGAAGGGAGACAATACTAGTGTCTCACAAGGAGTTGCTTGTGCAAACAAGACTGTACACTAGCTGGAAAGGAGTCCGAGGCAATGAATTGACCTGCTGGTGGGATCAAAGCACCATATCTAATGCAAGAATTAAAGCCCATTTTGTGTGAGCTCTCCAGGGCCAGTCATGGAGCAGCACAGACCTGCTGGCAGTGTGTGGACTCTCAGTTTCACCCTGGCTGCATGCTGTCCCCAGGGAATGAGAGCTGGCTCGGGCACCACAGATGCCTTCTGCTTCAGGGCTGTCTTTTCTTGTTGGTTGCAGAGTTTGTTCGCATGATGTCCCGTTGAAGATAAATCTCAGCTAAAGAAGAATCAGCACCTTAGAGAGGGCAGAAGAGGACCTAGGTGGAGCATCTAGCCCCGATGTTCCCACATGAAGGTTTATCGGCTGGCTGCAATTAGGACATTGCAAGATGACCTGCTGCTCCTCCCTCATGGTGGTCCCCATGCCCCTCCACCCTTTCACACTGTGAAAGACTTGCAACTTCCTACAACTGGAACCATTCCTTGGAGTTGATTACAGGAAACTGCAGAGCCAAGACTTACCATGATGCTTTCATGGGATATTTGCAACTTTAGACTCCTCCTCCCCAGCTTTATTCTCCCACCAGCTGCTGCAAAGCAAGAGCAGGAGAAATCCTCTTGGCTCGGTGGATGAGAGCAAAGCCATTGGGACTGGTGGCAGCCTCAGGGCGTGCTCTGCACTTCTTGATTTCCCTTGGTGAACTGTGTCTGTGTTTGCTGTCTCTGTGTGTGTGTCTGTCTGTGTGGAGTTATTTATGCTTCCCTGGCACATATTTGCATCTCCTGTGGTTATGTTTACCAAGAGTAAATTCAAATACATGTCTTGCGGGGGGAAAGCGATAAATATGCACGCTGAAACGATGTGGAGCCTGGATGTCCCTGTGAGAGGTGGTGGCTGGGCTGGAGGAGAAGGGCTGTGGCAGATGCATACTGTGGCATCTGCACTGGGTTCCAGAGGCAAGTCCTTGCTGCAGGAAGGGGAGTCACTGCCATCCACAGCCTGTGGCAGGGCTCTGCCCTCCCTCCTGCTGGTCTCATCGTGATGGGGCCTGGAGGTGCTCTCGGTGAGGGCAGTGTGGAGGGTCCCCACCTCTGCATCCCCCTGGCTTGCAAGGGGGCAGGTGAGAGCCCCTGTGGCGGCATCGCAAGGAGCAATGGGAGAAATGGCACAGAGGGGAGCTAGGTGGGAGGGCAATAGGCAACAATGGTAATGCCCTCCGTTTTTGGACTATTTCAAACACAACTGTGAGCGTATGCACAGTGGGGGCTGTGCTGCGGGAGCTGAGCTGTAACACTTTTGGTGCCGGGGATTGGCCAGGAGCCTCCTTGTGTGGCAGTGCCCTGCTCTCCAGCTTGTTCATGCTCAAAAATGCTGCACATGTCTGCAGCAGTGATGACAGCAGCCTCCAGGCCCTACCAGATGCTTCCAGACACATCAGACGCTCATCCTCCTTCCCCTTTCCGCAAGATTTTCCCAACCTTCCACTCCCCCTATTCTGCCAGACCTACAGTTGTCCCCTTTCTCTATGCAGAGGCTGAGTCACAAGTTGCCAGTACTAATTTTTGCTTGGCTTCAAAGGGCATCATTATTGCTGCATGTTTCTCAGTGTGACTGGGAGCTGTTTTTCACTCACTTGCCCCCTTACTTCAACTGGGAGGTTAGGAACCAATATTCTTCTGCTTCTTCCATCTCAAATCTTTCACTTCCCAGGTTCCCTTTCAAATTCTTAGGGTCTGCAAATCTGTGTCCCGAAGGAGGATTTTCTCCTCTGCTTTCCTGTTGCTGTGCCAACCAGCATAGCTGCAGCGATGGCTGATATCCCAGCAATGGGATGTTTCTTCTTATATTTGTGTGTGTGTGTGCTTGTGTTTGCACAGACATGTGCACTGGGAAAGGTTTGTGTGTGTGCGCATAAAAGCAGGGAGTGCAGATAGGTACCTGGGAGTGCAGCAGCAGCAGAGTTTGTTTGCAAGTGGGTGTATGCAAACTATGCGTGTGTATCTATGGAGCTGGTCCAGTCTTAGAAATGTGGGTGTGAGCCAAGAAATTGGAAAGTGGGTATTTGCAGATCTCCATATTTACTGGTACAGCAGCTGAGCTATATTGTGCTTGGGAGATGAGGGTGATAAACTGGACAGAGTCCAGAGTCCTGGTTAAGTTATATGTGTACTTAGGATAGTACTGGGGAGGGTGAGACCTGTGCAGGCTTGTGTCTTCCACAGGGAATGTTGGTACACAAACGTGCTTCACTTACAGTGGAGCCCGTTGAAGAAGCAGCGTGTGTGTGTACGCAGAGCAAGAGGACAGCTGCGCTGCTTGCCTGTATGCAGCAGAGTGGCTGTGCCTGCCCACGGGGACTGGTGACGACTCAGGGCACACGCCTTGTGCAGTAGCCAGCACGCACAAACCTGACGGACAGGCAGTGGCAACAGGCACAGTGGCTGCTTCTGCCTGCTTGTTCCTGGGTCCTGCACCGAGCAGTCGCATCCTTTGCCTGCAACAGCAGATGGCAGGACACGGTCTTAATTTGTTTAAAATTGTAAACCCATTTCTAGAGGCTGCACTGATCTACAGTGCAGCATCATGGTGGCTGGGGATGTTCTCTGCGAACTACTGCTATTTTCACTTAGGCAGATCCCTGTGTTTGTACCACGGCAGAGCTGTGTTTGTCTTCCCAAGAAATGCAGGGACACTGGTGCTAGGGGAAGGGTGGCTGCAGGACACCTTTGTGTCATTGCAGAGGCAGTCCTGGAGCCACAGCTACTTCCGAGGAAAGCTGTGTGTCTACCAAATTATCTGTAGCTCTTTTCTGCCAGGCCTTACCATGATACAGTGAACAGGTCAAACAGGGCAGGTCTCCAAAGCATTTTTTTTTCTTGCGGCAGAAGCTCTTGCTGCAAGCCTGGCTTTACTTGCACAAAAAAAAACCCCAAACAAACAACCAAATAATCCCAGGGAGTTCTACTATTTTCTTGTGCAGACGGGGTCAGAGATTAAAGCTCCAATCTAAATAATCTAATTCCAGAGATAATCCTTTTGCTCTCATCTCCAATCCGGTACCAGGGAGGCTTGCAAATAGCTCCACATGGCAGAGCAGAGCTGGTCCCCTCTGGGCACTCAGCCCCATAGCCCCGTGCGGTTCAGGAGCTGGCCCAGGAATTGGGGCTGGCTCACATTGGCTTCCTAGATGTCTCATAACCTACAAGCCCGGCTTCTGACCCACACATCTCCATTGCTCTTTTTGGACATCCCGGATCCCGATCCCTTTTTCCTGCAGTAAATGGCTAATACCCAAAACACGTGCCCCATGCCGCTTGTGAATGATCAGAGCTGTAGACCAGGCAGGACTGATTCAAGACTGAGAGTCATTTTGGCACAGCTGCCAGGGGACAGGGAGAGATCAAGGGATTGAGAAGACAACCCTGAGCCTTTCACTTGTAGGTTACTGGTGTAAATCCAGCTTGCATCAAGGAACTGATGGCTCAGTGGATTAGTAATGGGATACAGAGCCTTTGACAAGCTGGCATCAAGTTGTTATGACCATAAGTAACGATTCAGGGGCAGCAGCGTAGGACATTGTGGATGCAGGTCATGGCGGCACATCCGCCATCCTCTGCCAGTGTGAGCCAGGGTGAGTGCTCCTCTTGCACCCAGACAAGCACAGCTACTATCCTCACTCGCTGCTGCTCGGTTAATCCCTTTTGCTTCTTGATGGGCTGCTGATTCTTGGGAAATAATCACCTAGGCTAGTTATTAGAAGATGCTCTGACTGGGGAGGTAGAGGAGGTACTGCAATGCTCAGTGCCTTGCCTTCTGAAGAGGCTGAGTCCTCACATGGAAGGGAAGGAGAGGGGTTTTCCCCTCTGTTCAAGGAAGGGAACTCTTCCTTTTCAAGGAAATTTTTCTCTTTTCAAGGAAGAGTTGCTGATATTTCACTGTGAGATGAGCCCCAGGAGCCCTCGACAGGGACCCTAGGGTCACAAAGGGACCCTAGGGTCACAGCCACAAAAGCCCCTCGTGACACTCCCAAGGCAGGAGATGAGCTGGGTTAGCTCCCAGCTGCCCTTGTATACATCTGGGGCCAAAGAGACACCTTCAGCTGAGGGACCTGTCTGAGTCATACCCAAACATTAGCTAGTAAATCCCTTCATGTCTGAATTCCTCATGAGCACGATCAGGCCAAGCAGTTTGATGCTGGGTTCATAATGAAGCCCCACTCACCGGCTGCACAGCCCCTGTGCCCACCGACGCAGGGCAGCAAAGGTCCCGCTGAGAGCCACAACAGGGTTTCAGGTGGGGTCTGCCCAGCCAGCACTTGGGCCCCCGCTGCCATTCTGTGTGTGTGTGAGGCCTGCAAAAGCCCTGCTGACTGGGGGGCCAACGGGGCCAGCTGCCACAGCCCACCCAGGCCACGCAAGGGGCTATGTGTGGCCCTCAGCAGGACCTTTGCTGCCCTGATGGGTCTCAGGACTGGAAATGTGAGGATTCACACCCGTGGACACTGCTGTTTGCAACCTCAGCCCCAGCTGTCTCCTAAGCCCACTGATGATTCACACTGTCCCTCTTCTCACTTCACTTTCGCAGCTCATGGCAGTAACCTGGTGACACACAAAGCGCTTACGTGCTTTGAAGTTGCGCTCCTGACCTAAGCGCATCACAGTTTAAGCTGAGAAATCTTGAGAGATTAGGGAGGATCGTCTGTAATCAGTACAAATGAGCTCTAATGAGGCCTCCCTCAGCCTCGCCAAATGGACAGCATTGTTCTGGCCATGGCTGCTTGCACTCCTTTGCTAACAGAACTTGGGGGACACCCAACAGGTCACAAACACAGCAGGGATACAGGGGATTAGTCTGGATTTGATCAGCTGCTGCCAGGGCTGGGGTCTGTAACGCTGAGACGATTTGCCAGGAACCAGCGTGGGGTGGCTTTATCTGGAGAGGTGCTAAGCATGTGTGTTTTACACTACTTTTCTGGATGTGGTTTCCTAAGACACCTTGCCGTTTTGGGAACCCCTTCCTGGCAGCAGTGCCATGTCTGCCCTGGCCCAGCTATACCACGAGCCCAGGGGCCAATGTGACAGCAGCAGGGACACACTGTGGGGCCCACTCCAACCTGGGCAGAGCAGGTTAGGGAGCAGGGGGTGGGTGGTTATTCTCCCCTCACCAGAGTGACTTCACTTCTCCAAGGCTGTGTCCTGTTAAGAGGCCTCCGAGGTACCTTACAAAAGCAACAAGCCCATTTAATTCACAATTTGTAGCTCTAAGTCTTTATTTCTAAAGGCAAATGCATTGTGGAAGACCCAAATTAGTAAAATGTCATTGGGACTTAGAAGCAGCTGCTGCTAATGCGGTTAGTGACCAAAGTGCAGATGTGAGGCTTGGCTGGCGTACGAAGCTTTGAGGAATACCAAGATCAGACAGAAGGGCAAACATGGAGGCAAACATTATTTGCTCCCCCACACCATGGAGTGAGTGAGTTTCATCCAATCTCCAGCCCTCACTCCAGCCCTCCCAAGGCCTTGCTAAGGCCCCTCCCCCCCCCAAAAAAAAATTACATCCTCCTGTAAAACACAATACAGAGAGAAAAATCACTGGCAAAGCAGCGGTTAGCTCCCCCACCTTCCTCTTTTATTGGCCGTTTTACTTTTCAAGTGGATTATTGTGGTCCAAAGCAGTTGCATGCCACCCAGCTGTCTCACTCCTCACCGGGCGGGCCGGTAGCTGCCTTTTCCCATATTCCGTGGCAGGAGCGAACCGGGGAACCGGCGTGTTTTGCTGAGGCAGAGAAGCGGTCTTGAGAGCCGCTGTTCAGAGGACAGCAGACAC